CAAATGGCCAAACCCATTAGTACCAGGCCGATGGAAATTAAACCCATGAAGAAACATCACTGCATACCTGCCAGACTGGCAGAAATCAAAGTGACACTACCAAGTGTTGGGGGAGGATGTGGAATAAGAACTTTCACACGCTGCTGTGGGAGTGTAATCCGGTACACTCTGGAAAACACAGCTGAAGATCTGCATGCTCTGACTCAGCCGTTCCACACCTTGGTACACATGCCAGAGGAGTCTGTGTACGGGTGCGCAGTTGAGTGTACATACGGCATTGTAATCACAGCATTGTAATCACAATGGTTCCGATGTGGAAATTCCCAAATGGCCACTAATATTAGGATGGATAAATACATTGTGATGTATTCATAAAATGGGAGATGTACAACAATAAAATTGATTGCTCTTATTAAAATAATGTTGAACAAAGAAAGAAGAGACAAAATATGAAAATATTCAATATAACTATACAAAATTCAGAAACAGGGAAAACTAAACTGTGGATCAGAGATGCGTACAAAGATGAAACAACTATAAAGAGTTTGATGGTAATTAGCATAAATTTTAGGATTACCATAAAATTCAGGATGAGGGAATAGGGTGTAACTGGGTAGATTTGTGGAGTATAGGCAATAATCTCTATAGTGGCCATATGGGTAACATTTTTAAAAATATTTTATTTTTTTTATTTTAGAGAAGGGGAGGAGGGAGAAAGAAAGGAAGAGAAACATCCATGTGCAGTTGCCTCTCATGCGCCCCTTGCTGGAGACCTGGACTGTAACCCAGGGTTGTGCCCTGACTGGGAATTGAACCAGCAATCTTTTGGTTCACAGGCTGGTGCTCAATCTACTGAGCCACACCAACCAGGGATGAGTAACATTTTTAAAGATATATTATAATTTTGCTTCATTTACAAACTTCTCTGTATATTGTTAATTTTTTTTAAGTATAGAAATTACCCTTTCCTTTACATTCCTTGCTCTAGGGGACATATCAGTAATGTAAAGGAAAGAATAAACAAATGGGATCTCATCAAAATAAAAAGCTTCTGCATGGCTAAAGAAAACAGTATTAAATTAGCAAGACAACCAACTGTATGGGAAAACATATTTGCCAATGATACCTCAGACAAAGGTTTAATCTCTAAAATATACAAAGAACTTACACGACACCACTCTAAGAAGACACCCAACCCAATTAGAAAATGGGAAAAGGACTTGAACAAACACTTCTCCAAGGAAGACATACAGAACATTCAGAGACACATGAAGAGATGCTCAATATCATTAGCTATCAGAGAGATGCAAATTAAAACCACAATGAGATACCACTTTACACCAGTCAGGATGGCTATCATAAACAAAGCAACAAACAACAAATGTTGGAGGGGTTGTGGGGAAAAGGGGTCCTTAGTTCACTGTTGGTGGGAGTGCAGACTGGTACAACCATTATGGAAAACAGTATGGATTTTTCTCAGAAAAATAAAAATCGACCTGCCTTTTGACCCAGCAATTCCACTGCTGGGATTATATCCTAAGAATCCTAAAACATCAATTTCAAAGAACCTATGCACCACAATGTTCATAGCAGCACAATTTACAATAGCCAAGAGTTGGAAGCAACCTAGGTGCCCGTCAGTAAATGAATGGATACAAAAATTGTGGTACATATACACAATGGAATTCTATGCTGCAGAGAGAAAGAAGGAGCTACTACCCTTTGCAACAACATGGATGGAACTGGAAAGCATTATGCTGAGTGAAATAGGCCAGGTGCTGAAAGACAAATACCATATGATCTCACCTTTGACAGGAAGCTAAACAACAAAACAAACAAGCAAGCAGAAAAAAAAAAACCCAAAAAACAAAGACACTGAAATAGAGAACAAGGGGATAGAGACCAGAGGGGAGAAGGAAGGGAAGTTAAGGGGAAAAAAGGGGAGGGATTTGGAGGAACAAATAGGAAGGACACAGGGACGAGAACTAAGGGGGGGGGTGGAAATGGGAGGGAGGTGGGGAGCAAGGGGCGGGGGAGGCTGGGATGGGAAAAATAGACAAAAAACTGTACTTGAAAAATAACTAAATAAAATTAAAATTAAAAAAAAAAAAAAGAAATTACCGATTAGGGGGAAAGATGGCTCCTGAAGCCATGTGAGAGAGACTCTTCATTTGAACACAGTTTCTAAAAAACCCAAAACTCGGAATCCCCAAAGAATACAAAGATTCAGGACTGATAGAAAAGACTGAAAAGAACAGTTTAAAAAGACTGAAGAAAGTCAAAAGTGAGTGGTGTTAGGAAAGCTAAGGGAAGAGAGAATGCAGAGTATGAGAGCTCAACAATGACAAATGAGGTAAGTTTAAGCAAGATAAATACCGAAAAATACCAGTAAGTTTGGAACTTAGGATTCCAGTGGTCACTGAAGTGCCATTTGATACTAACACTGTTATTTGTAATAAAAATTTCATGTATCATTCTATTTCTCAAAAATGACATGCTATATTCCATTTTAAGGAAAACATGCATCATACCAAGTTCTTCATTTTGATAAGTACTTCAGAATAAACAAAGAGTGATTTAAATCTTGCTATTTTATGACTAATATGTATAAGAATGTGGCAAAATTTTATAATTTTCTTGATGTTAGAATAGTACACATTAAACTAGAATTGCACAAGATAGAATGATTTAAACAGCTGATTACAAATATATTACGCATGTTCTAAGTTTTTCTGAATACGTGATACTTTATGGGGAATATTATCAACAGAACATAGAGGATAACTTTTTATAAACTTATATAAATCAAAATGTGTTGTGATTACTTTTGACCCGGATCAAAAGAGAGGTTATGCCCTGGCTGGTGTAGGTCTGTGGATTGAGTGCAGGCTGCGAACCACAGGGTGGCCAGTTCAATTCCTAGTCAAGGCATATGCCTTGGTTGCGGGCCAGGTCTCCAGTAGGGGTCGTGTGAGAGTCAACCACACATTGATGTTTCTCTCCCTTTCTTTGTCTCTCTCTTCCCCTCTCTCTAAAAATAAATAAATAAAATCTTTAAAAAGAAAGGGGAGGTTATAATATAAGTCTTAGAAATTAACTGAATTTTGAATTGAAACATAAGTCAAAAGGATTTTTCAGGTGAGGAGAAAACTGTACTTATGGCTTGGAACAAAACATTGTAATAAAAAACTGTAAAAGAAATAAGATTTTAAACGTATTACCTTGCCTATATTAGAAATGTACCTTATATTGTACAATAAGAAGTAGGACATAACTGACAAAATGTTTATTTTTAGAACCTTTTTAAAAATTGATGATTTTAGAGAGAGGGAAAAAGGGAGGGAGGGAAAGAAAGACATCACTTTGTTTTTCCACTTATGCATTCATTGAAGGCATGTTTGTTTTTAAAGCTTTGAATTTTCTTTTGAAAGTAGCTTTGACAATGTAGAAATGTGGTAAGTTACCATTAAAAAATGGACTTGGAGCACAGGCAACAAAAGAAAAAACATGTAAGTAGGACTTCAAAAAAATAAAAACTTTTGTACATCAAAGGGAAATAACATCGCAAAAGGTAACCCATGAAATGGTAGAAAACATTTGTAAACCATGTATCTGAGCCCTGGCTGGTGTGGCTCAGTTGGTTGGAGTATTGTACCTCAAATCAAAGGCTTCAGGTTCAATTCCCAGTCAGGGCACATGTCTGGCACATGTCTGGGGTGCAGGCCAGGTCCCCAGAAGGAAGCACAAGAGAGGCAACCACACATTGATGTTTCTGTCCCTCCTTTTTTCCCTCCTTGCCCTCTCTAAAAATAAATATATCTAAAAAAAATGGGCAAAGACCCGAATAGACATTTCTCTAAAGAAGCTATACAAAAGGCAAATAAGCACATGAAAAGATGCTCAATATCACTAATCATTAGGGAAATGAAAAATAAAACCACAATAAGATGCTAGTCACACCTGTAAGGATAGCTGTTATTTAAAAAATGAAACAAAATTAGTTAAGTATTGGTGAGGATGTGAAGAAACTGAGACCCTTGTGTATTGCTGGTGGAAATAAAAAATGATGCAGTTGCTGTGAAAAACAGTATAGTGATTTCTCAAAAAAAATTACACATAGAACTGCCATATGATCCAGCAATTCCACTTATGGGTATGTGCCCCAAAGAAATGAATGCAGGGGCTCAAACACATTTGTACACCACGTTCATAGTAGCATTACTGACAATAGCCGAAAAGGTGGAAGCAACCCAAGTATTCATCAATGGACAAATAAGTAAACAAAATGTGGCACACACATACAATGGAGTATTATTCGGCTTTAAACAAGAAGGGAATTCTGACACATAGTACAAATATGGACAAACCTTAATAACATTATGCTAAGTGAAATAAGCCAGTCACAAAAGAACAAATACCGAATGATCTTACTTATATGTGGTACCTAAAGTAGTCAAATTGAGAGGCAGAAAGCAAAACGGGCGTTTCCCAGGAGTTGAGGGAAGAGGAGAACAGGGAGCTGTTTAATGAGCGTAGACTGCAGGGGTGTCAAACTCATTTTCACTGGGGGCCGCATCAGCCTCGCAGTTGCCTTCAAAGGACCGAAAATAATTTTAGGACTGTGTAAATGTAACCACTCCTTAATTGTTAGGGAGTTGAAATTACATTCGGCCCTTTGAAGGCAACTGTGAGGCAGAAGTGGCCCCCGGTGAAAACGAGTTGACACCCCTGGTGTAGAGTTTAAATGTTGCAAGCTGAAAAGAGTTCTGGAGATTACTTGCAGAACAATGTGAATGCACTGAATGTCACAGAACTATACACTTTAAAACGTGTTATGTGTACTTTACCACAATAAAAAACATGGACTTGGAAATGAATAAGTGTTAAAAACAGAATCACAGTCACTCTTTGAATGAAGATGTAAGTCACTGTTTCGGTGCATATGGAACAGAAAACAATTGCATTCTTTTTATGTGTACTTTATTATTTTCATTTGGTACCTGGATTTCGAGCTCAGCAATGTGCTGCTGTAGTTCAGCCACAGCAGCTATGCTGTCTGCTTCCCGCAGTCTCACAGCCATCACTTCTTCCTTGTTCTAGGGTAGTGAAAAAAACAAACTAATGACAAACTTTATAGTAAACCGAACTAACAATACACTAATAATAAAGCATACACGATGCCATTTACCTCAAAATTTAAAAAATAACAAGCCCATGATTAAATGAGAAGAAAGCCATTATCTCCTAAACTTAATAGGAAATGAAGAATATATAGAATAGCTTTCTATCTTTAAATATTAAGAAATACCATCATATAAACAAATATTGCTCAAGATCTTTAAATTAAAAATTAGCTTAATTAAAAGTATTAAAATTACTGTTAACTGTGAAATTTAAATTTTTATGAAAGAACAATTATGGAAAACTTTCAAACACTTAAGTAACTAAGACAGCAGACTAATGGAGAATATGGATACTAACAGTATGTTAGCTAGATAATATTTTTAAAATTATATTCTTTCTGAAGCAATAAATGATAATGAATATTTACATTGTACTAGATAGAATAATATTAGGTTATGTCACAATTCTGTATAATATTTATCTTCCACCTCAATATTTCACAAAAGAAAAACTCTAAAACCGTATGTACAATATCTATGAGAAATAATAGTAATCCAGAAATAACAAGGAAATATGGTAGAGGGAAAGGGCATGCAAAAATACCTTGCTCCCCCATTAACTTCAGTTGAAATTTATCCATCACTTAGTATCCAAAATGCGTAGCATGGTCATCATATAATATTGAGAGTATTATAATATCAAAAATTAAAAAAATACTAAATTTAATAAAAGTATAATAATTAAGCTTTTAAATAAAAATTTACATTGCCCTGACTGGTATGGCTTGGTGGGCTGGGCATCATCCCACAAACTGAAAGGTCGTGGGTTTGATTCCCAGTCCTGGCACATGTCTGGGTTTCGAGCTAGGTCCCTGGCTGGGGGCATGCAACAGGCACGTGATTGATGTTCCTCTCTCTCTCTTTCTCCCTCCCTTCCCCTCTCTCTAAAAATAAATATATAAAATCTTTGAAAATTTATATTTATTTTGTATCTCAGATATGATACTGGTACTTTAAGCAAATACTGCTTTAAATATTTTGTAAATTTGCATGTGGCCAAAACATGTAGTCTGTGTACCCAATGCTATGCTGAGCAAAGGTTTAACAACCAGCTCCAGGGATGTGTGTGTGCACGCTCATGCGCATGTATCTGTGTGTGTACATGTGTTTATGCTTAAGTTCATTATATATTTTAATACAAACTGATGCAAAGGGTATATAGTACAAAACACTCACATAACAAGACATTCAATACTCATTATTGTAAATTCTAGATAGTCTATATATTCTCACTGAATATGTTGACTTATTTTTGCCAAACTCTTGTATCCATAAGCCACCTATGGTTGAAACTGAGGAATAAGTGAAGTTTTTCTTTTTAAGATTTTATTTATTTATCTTTAGAGGGGAAGGGAAAGAGAGATGGAGAGAAATACCAATGTATGGTTGCCTCTCATGCGTCCCCTGCTGGGAACTGGCCTGCAACCCAGGCATGTGCCCTGACTGGGAATCAAACCGCGATCCTTTGGTTCGCAGGCCTAAGTGAAGTTTTGATAATGCACACTGGCTAAGTATTTTTGTTTCTGTTAGAAATAAGATGGAAGTGAAATTAGGAAGACATGTTAGAATTTCGCTCATTTGTCACTGAGCAAGTTTTTGCTGATTCCGATAATAGTAATTAAATAGAAGAAAATTTCTTTAACATTTTGTGCTATTCACAATGTAAAGGCTGAAAATAACAACAAACTTTTAAGCTCTAACCTGCATTATTAGTCTAGAGCAGAAGTGAAAAACTTTCCCTTAAAGCACAGTTGGCAAATGAGGCTGGCAGGCTGAGTCCGGCCCTTCACCTTGTTTTATCTGGCCTGGCACCTCGTTTCTACCCAATGGCAGCACCAAGCTCTCACTTAACTGTTAAGGAGGAGTTACATTTACACGGTCCTAAAATTACATTAGGCCCTTTGAAGGCAAACACCAGGCTGATGTGGCCCTCTGGTGGAAATGAGTTTGATACTCCTACCTTAAAGGGTCAGATAGTAAATATTTTAGACCTGATAGCCATATGGTCTATCACAACTATTTTATTTGCCACTGGAGTGTGAAAATGGCCATCAACAGCATATTAATGAGTGAACAGGCTGTATCCCAATAAAACTTTATTTACAAAAACAGGTAGCCAGACAGATTTGGGCCATGGGCTATAGTTTGCCGACTCCTGGTCTAGATAATCAACAAAACAATAAATCAAGCCCTGATACGTTTGACGATTTATCTGGTGTAAATACTTTCACTGTGGCTCCTTTCAAGCTGCCAACATAACACGGCTGAAACACAGAGTTGGGAAGAAATGTGCAGTAGTACACTATTGTGTGGTATTTCCACCATACAGTTGCAACAGGTATAAATAACCTGAAAAGCACAGGTAACAGTAAATGCAAAATAATTAGGAAATGATGTTTGAATGTTTTTTACCTTTGTTCTACCATAATTTAGTTACATTAAATAAGTTTTAATATGGCTGTTTAACAAATATGTCACAAAATTCTCAAAAACTTAACAATTGGTTCTTGCCAACTTTTACCTAGTTGGTTCCGGCACACCAGCGTCTATGTTTACTAAAATTCAAATCTAGTCTTGTCACCCCCTTGTTTTAAACACTTTAATGGTACTCCACTGAGCTTGAGATAACATTCCAGGTCCTTACACAGGTGCCTAAAACTCTGCATGACTGGGCTTCCCCTTTACTGCTCTCCCTTCATGTCTTACCACTATTCTTCACCCCCTCTACAGCTAGAAAAAAACGTTTTTTAGTTCAACTAACATTTTTTTTCACTTCGTTCTTCACACATGCTGTTCCCTTTCCCTAGTGAACTCTGTTGGCTCTCCTTGAACTAACTCCTACACATCCTTAAGGTCTCAGCTTAATCATTCCTTAGTTGACCCTCCTTGAACCATGACTCCTACACTAAAGTCCCATTATAGCACCCTATATGCCTCCCCAGTCACAGCACTTCATACTAAACCATCATTGTGTGTTACTTGCTTGTAGCCTTTACTAAGAGAAAGCCCCTTGAGGACAGTAATCTATCCCACGGCCAGCTCCACTTTGCAATGATGTGAGTGAACCACCTAAAAATCCTTACCTTCTCACTTCAGTTAAACAGATAGCTGCAGCCTCATGAGAGACTAAACCACAACCACTTAGCTAAGTTGCTCCTGAATTTCTGACCCAGAAAATCTCTCGGGTATTGGTGCTCATTGCCATTTCAAGCCACTGTTTTAGAGGTAATTTGTTAAATACCAATACATAATTGATACATTTATACTCTATTGATTTTAGTTAACCTGTATAAAAATATATCAGTCAAGGTATAAAAACAAAAATTTAGGCATCAATTTCCCCTAATCTTCCCCCTCTCCAATCTGTCTAATCACCAAGTAGATTTTCAATTGATGTAGTTCTCTTTAGTTTAACTGCCAATATCTGAGCCCAAGCTAGCACCACTTATATTCTTATTATACACTTACATTCTTATTATATACTTATACTCTTATTATACTTAGTATGTCCTATACTCTTATTACCTGATGATCTCATGTCAAATCTCTCTCCAACCCTACCCCAACCCCATTTCCACATACAGTGACATGTGGTTCTTCTAAAAAATTGCAGTCACTGCTACAAGCAACATCCCCTAATAAATGTTAAAAGGCTGTGGCCCTCTCCATGCAGGGATCTTCCCCTGGCTCTTCACTAAGACTGACTCTTTCCTACTCTTTAGGTCCCAACTCTGATACCGCCTTCCAGCACTGGATCTCAATTACCACTTAATTCCTGGTCCACAGTATATCATTAGTAATGATCTTATCTATTTTGACTTATTATCTCACAAACACTATGTCCACCTTCTTCACTACTATATCCCCCCCAGTGCCCGTAAGAGTAACTGACAAATAGAAGATGCCCAAATATTTGATGAATACATGAGGGGCTGCCATCATTCTTTGAAGTCTCATAATCTCACCTCCTCCCTACTCCAAGAATCACTGTCCTAAAATATGTAAATTACATCTATTTAAAATGAAAAGACTTGCCTACACTCTTTGTACTAACATTAAGAAACAGGGATCATAATGCCCTGCTTGTCAAAGTACAAAATGATGCAACCCTAGGAAGGTCACTTGACAAAAATCTATGAAAAGTAGAAATATATTTACCCATTAACCAAACAATAAAATTTACAGGAGTGTATCCTGCAGGAATGTAGATATATTTCTATACATCTGAAATTATGTATGTTTCAAGGTTGTTCACTATACTCTGTTTATAGTAGCAAAACACTGAGAACAGCCCTTGTGCCCATCAATAAGGCCTAATTAAGTATACTACGGTACATCCACGAAATGGAAAACAATGGGCCTTGGAAACTAATGAGAAGACTCTTCAATGACTATTTAAAGCTCTACAAAACATATGACAAAAAAGGCGAAAAGGAGACATATGGTATGCCAACATTCATGTAAAAAAGCGAGAAGAAAAATTATGTACTTTTGTTAGTATTTGCCTGAAGAAAACTCTAAAAGGACTTATCAAAAAATAATAAAAGCGTTACCTGGAAAAAATAAGAAGCATATGGTAAGGGCAGGAGGAGAATGAGATAGAAGGGAATGGGGATGTTATGATACTACTATTATAATATAGTGAAATACCTTGATTCACTCTCCTCTCTTAACATGATTTATTACACAATTTTACAAGTTTGTATATAAACTAATATACATGTTCTCATGTATGTTATAGATCTATGATATATATATCTATATACCTATATATCATAGACATCATAGATACATATCTGTCTATATCTATATCTATCTATGCATGTACATATCTATATATAAAAATCTCTATATACACATGTATCTACATGTAGAATTAGAGAATCTAAAATCTTTCTATTTTCAATTTACATAGAAAATTCCACCGTCTCATTCCTGAAATCTTGGGAACCAGGTGTGTTATGAAACTTCAGATGTTTTAGGATTTTAGAAAAATAATATGGTGTATAAACCATACATTAGTCCTACCCAGTGAAATCTGGGGCAGCATCCATAATGAAACAGTATACTCAGTGCTCAACACAGTGAAGCAGTAAAGTATAAATACCCACACCAACTGAGGTATTTAAAATGATAAGTAACCATATTTCGATTCAAGTCAGGTTTTGCTTCCAAATGAATCTGTATAAAATTTGTGAGAAAAACCTTTGCATTTATAGTGTTTGGGATTTTCATATTGAGGATCATAACTTGTACTATTTTATCTTCAAGTAGGAATGTTCAAATTCAGTTACAAAAGAAAAATGACATTAATATTAAAAAATATCCTGACATTTTAAATAAATGAAAAATAAGATGAACTTTCAAAGTTGCTTATCAGCAAATAATAAGCTATAATCATATAAAACTAAATGAAAATTAGTCAGATTTATGTAATTGAAGGACTGGCCTCCCTGAAAGTCAGGTTTGTTTCTAAATTGTTCTAACATAACAAGGCAGTACACACACTTTATCAGAATGTACGAGGAGCTGGAGTAACAAAACAGTGGTCATTCTTGAAATCTGCAAAAAGGCATTATAAAAGATGTAATAAATCAATATAAATCTTAAACACAGGGGGACACCAGAGTCAGATCTGTAACATACTTCACAGAGGTATTAATGAACAATTTATTTTTTTTTAAATCTCAAAACAGTTCTTAAAATTCTCTAAAATTCTGAATCTTGAGCCCATTGCTCAGATAAATTCAAAGAAAACAATTATTTTCATTAGCAAACTCCCCAAATATTTATTTCCAAACAATATTTTACTTAGGTAGTAAGGCATTTAAGGAGCAACACTAAATCCAATAACAATGTTATGAACATGTTTTAAGGAAAGCTTACACCAATAATGAAAAAGATTAAATTTTGTTCTTTATTAAAAATAAGTCAGCACAGACCATATAGCATCCTAAACTCTAATCAGACATTAGTATAACAAATCAAATGAATATAACTTCATGTCACATCATTTTATTTGTTTTTTTAAAGATTTTATGTATTTAACCCTAGAGAGAAGGGAAGAGAGGAAGAAGAAGAGTCAGATAAACATCTATGAGTGAGGGAAACATCGATCGGCTGCCTTTTGCACAACCCCAACCAGGGACCTGGCCTGCAACCCAGGCATGTGCCCTGACTGGGAATCAAACCAGTGACTTTTCAGTTTGCAGGACAATGCCCAACCTCATGAGCAACACCAGCCAGGGCCACATCATTTTATTTCTAAATTAGTACAGTCATATCCTTAAGAGGGCCTACTCTTAAATTAATATAAATTTCAGTACTGTTTACAGATTTCTGTCAGTGTAAATTGTAACAGCCATGCATATTAATTAGGATGTAATTTCATCTCTGGATTTCAGTGACACTGATAAACCACTCAAGCTTCACTCTTGGTTTTTAATGACACCAGAACAAGTTGATGGAATTACAGCTTTATATGTGCCATTGAAAGTCTTGTTTCTTATCATAGAATAATAGGGCTGGAATCTTTAAAGGACATCATTCCTACTATCTCACCATGGAAGATGAATGTCTAGTTCATTTTTAAAATCCTGTAACTCATCCTCAGTAATCCATTCTACTGCTCAGACCACAGTCACCTCTTTAGTTATTTCACACACACACTCTCTCCTCACACTCCACTCTCCACCCTCTCTGCCTCCACTGCTATACTATTTATTTCAGGAAAAAATGTACTTGCATTCGTATACTTTCATGCTTTATGAAGCCAAACACTTCACAGAAAATAGAAAAGCTGATTAAAATAATAATGAGAAATGTAGACAATTTCCCTAATCCATTGGAACACACAACAAACACTTCCTTTGCTCTCTACTCTATCTAGAAAACATGTCGATATTCACTGCTCACTAATAAGGTACCTATCAAAGCAGAGTTGCCCTGACCTCTCTAAATTCCCCATCTTTTCAGTTGAGACCTTAAAGGCTTTGGTTTTAAAGAGCTATAGGTTAAAAAAAATTATGAAGAGATACTATTTTAACCCCCTTAGTTATTAACTTAATTTCATGCACTGGCATGTGGTTGAAAATGAGGTTTTCTGGTGAAATCCACCCCAGAGCAAGATCTGCTAACCTAGTCTACAATAACTACCAAACCCAGTTCAGAAAAAGCAGGAAATTAAACTAGCTTCTTATGGCTTTAAGATAATGTAATCAATGCTGAGATGAAACAAGAAAAGGCATTTTTACATTGACAAAAACAACACAGCTAGTTGATATATTTACCTTGCATTCAATCTCTGCTTGTTTGCGCTTTGCTTCACTTAATTGAGTAAGTAGACCTTTGTTCTGTGCAGAAAGATACTGCACCTTCTCCTGTAGACTGATCACTTCTTGTTCTGCTCTTCGAAGATGGTTACTGTTGATCTGGTTCTAACAATAAAAAATGTAAATACTCAGATTATATAGAAAAAAGACCTGAAAAAAGTTACAAATTTCTACCTGCCCATTTCATGTTTACTCATTATTTTAAAATGTCATTATTAGTTATAAGTCAATTTTATTCAACAAACACTTAAAAGCTAAAAACAAGGGATTTATAAAACTGCTTTAAAAATCAAATCATCTAAAAGAATACATAAGGTCCATATTAGAAACTATCATGATAGGTCACTTTATCATTCATGCAACAAGTACCTCTAAACTATAACGATTTTTACACAGAACTTGAAGGTATTAATTTCTGACATAGGCAACATTGTATAAAGTTGCCTATTTAGCAGGAAGAGGATGAATTTAGCTCCTCTTTCCAATTCTCAGAAGGAAGCACAGACTGACTGAAGGCACGATCACCATGTGCTGGGCTGTGAACCTGATGTTGTGGCAGGTGTGACAGGTGTGCCTTCATTTCTCCACCCACGGCACAGTCTGTGCGTATGGAACACTGACTGATTCTGAATTCTGGCTTACGATTCGGTAACAAAGCAAACTAGTTAATATCTCTGAGTCTCTATTTGAAAAATGTACATAAAAACACTACCTACCAGTACTTTTCATTTGGTTGTCTTCAGGATTAAATGAAATATATATAACGTGTCTAACATACAATAAGAACTCAGCAAACACTAGCTGCTTAAGTATTATAATTATAGGACATGCTAACACACATACAGACACCTTGAATCAACTGACTTGAGATAGTTTTCCCAATCAGGCTTGACCCAGCCTGAATTTTCTCAACCCCAAATTATTCTACCAGGAGCCTGAAAGAAACAATAGAAATTTTCCTAACCAAAGACAAGTAAAATCTGGCTCCTCAATGAACAGTTCTTCAACCTTGGTCAAGTTACCTACCTAATCCCATCAAATTTCACCACACTGGTATAAGCACAGACTTACCACCTGCCTTTCAAGGTTGTGTTGTGAGAATTACATGAGAAAAGTTTATGAAAGGAGTCTCACATAATGCCTGAAATTTAAGATACTTAATAAATGCACAGTTGTTGCTGCCATAATACCTATTCTACCTCACTCTCTGAAAAGGACCCTGCCTCCAGTTTTAGTGAAAAATATGGATCATCTAATAGATATAAATTCCAAAACTTTCTTCCACTTCCAGGTTTTTCCATCTTCATTTTTACTTATCTTTCTGAGTCACAGAAGAAATTCCTCCTTTCTAAGACCATCCTCTATATTACTTTCTTCTTTCTCATTTCAATGAATACTATCTATCTACAAAATTATTTATAAACTTCTTAGTATTGAATTGAACATGTTCCATGACCTCTTTCTACTGTCTTGCCTTCCACCATTAAAACAAATGACCACACTGCAGAAGGACATACCTTCCATATAAGCTTCAAAGAACTCCCACAGCTAGAACTCCTCCCTGCACTCCTAATTAAAATTCCATGATCCAAAATTACAAAATACACACAAGCAAAACCCCAAAATTGCCTATAAATAAAAAATAATAGGTAAAAAAGGAGAACCATAGATTTTTAAGAACTCTACACAAAATCACAGGGACTTTATATATAATATACTTTATATTTAATATTAGAATAAAAAGAGGAAACAAAAACATAAGCAAAGCACAGGTCACTCTCAAGAAAATTTGGCAAATTTAAAAAATAGCCAAATACAATTTCTAAAATTAATACAGCCACTGATATTAAAATTCCAATAAAAGGTTAAATAAATTAAATATATTGAAGAAACAATTAATGTTCCAGAGAAGTCCACAGACATAGAAAAGAGCATAAGAAAGTTAAAAAAAACCCTGCCTAATAAGGATTATAAGATAAAATAGAAAAAAAAAAAAGGTGGTGAGAGATGATGGTCCAAGACAGCAACTTTCAACCTTTCTCATTCAATGGCACATAAACGAATTACTAAAACTCTGCAGCACACCAAAAATTATTTTATATTTTTTGCAGTTCTGACAAAAAACAGGTATGACTGTGATTCATTCCCAGTGGACAGCTATTTCTGTGTTGGCCATTGCCCTTTTTTTTTATTTGACAATCTAAGGGGAAGGTGGCCAGTGTCCAACTAAATAATCAGGTACTGCATATTTTAAATCTGGGGCACATCAGTTGAAAATCACTGGTGTAAGAGACAATACCAGTACAGAATTTTTTATAATTGAAAAAAAAAAAGACATGTATAAATCCACATGAAGTTCAAGAAGCACAACTAGCCCTAAAGAGGACAAATAAATCCTCACCAGGACACAATGTAACAAAACTTAGCATGCTAAAGAAAAGAGGCAAATCAAGGTAGAATCTGAGTGTCTGTGAAGGGGAAAAGTGAAATATGAAAGTGTCAGACACATCAACAGGAAAAAGATGTAGTGCTTAAAAAAATAAATTCCATCCTATAATAGTACACTCAGCTAAACTATTATATAAGAATTAAAGAAAGCATTTATTTTCAGAAAGTGACAGTTTATAACACTCAATTCAAACTGGAAAGAAACTTAAATAAAAGAATAAAGAGCAAAAAATTGTCAAGTGGGTAGACAAGTCCAAATGAGCAGTGACTCCATAAAATAACAATTACGTCTAGTCATCTGGATGCATAAGAACGATGTACAGTAACAGTAAGATGTAAGATCAGAAGATGGAAGAAGCGCATATGAAGTCTGTGTCGTACCCTTAATACAGTTTGGAAGATGGAGATAATTACTAAGTTTAGACTTTGTTCAATCAGGTAAGTAAGCATTTTCATTTTTTTAAGTAATAAACACTAATAGAGAAAAAATTATGAAAGTCAAGCTAATAGAAAGAGAAACTAAATTAAGCCAAAAAAAAGAAATAAAGGAGGAAAAAGCAAAAATGGAAGATGGTCTACATTTCTGGTCAGGAATGTAGACAGTCAGGAAAAGTATTACACCCACTCTTTCAATTCAAAAAGAAGAAAACCCAGTCAAACTCTAACTTTGTGACTTTTGTTGAACCCAGAGAGGTGAGGTCGGAGGACAACCAACTAGCCCTGAATCTAAAGAGTGACAAGGGTGGAAGCAGTCAGAAGCTATTAAGTATATTTCAGCTAAAATAAATATCAAATTGGTAGAGGACTAGTGTTGGCTGGCTAGAGAGTGAGGAGCCCAGGGTGGCAACAGGGTTCACAAACTTCTTCTCCATGGACCCCAACAGATATACAACAGAAAGACTGATGAAAGCCTTGAGAAAGACCAATGGTACAGGCATGAGGGAGAATAGCAGCCAATATAGGAGGGGCACTGACTCTTGCTTGCCTACTCTAGGTAGTAAAAGTTTTAATCTGCTTGGAACACTAATCTCTTTGGGGCACTAGGGAAACTTTCGTATCTGAGTAAGGGGCAGGACTGTATTTTGGGTCTAGGACTATAGTCGGTGTAGGGCAGGAGAACTAAGAAGGCCAAATAATCAGATCCACAGACAGTGTGGCCTAAGACTGAGGTTTTACCAGACCAATAGGGCAGAGATGTTTCTGCCCTGCCAACCTCTTGTAATACGTAACGATAGAATACTTCTGGAGACTGACCCTTTCTGAAGTGCTGTGCAAAGGGAGGACCTGAAGATAGTGAGAAAACCCATTGGCAACCAGCCCCCAATCTAAAAATAAGATATTGCTAGAGGAATTTGAAGCCTGTGGTGTAATGAGGGTAACCACAGAAACAACACACCTCAAACCCAGCTCAACTCCTGACTATATTAACTCAAATCCCCCACATTAAAGTCTTAGCAGAAGGAAAGGTATGCACATATCTAGGCATAAAAACTATTTACCTTAGTCTACTGTTCTATACAAGATACCCAGTTTTCAACAGAAAAAAATCACAAAGCATAGGACAAAGTAAGAAAAAAACTAAACGCAACCAAGACACAAAGCAATCGCCAGAACCAGCTTCACATATGACACAGATGTTGAAATTATCTCACATGTATTTAAAATAACAGTGATTAATACACTAAAGGCTCTAAGGAAAAGTTGAAAAACATGTAAAATCAGATAGAGAATATCAGCAAAGAAATGGAAACTGTAAGAATCAAACAGAAATGCTAGAAATGATAAATACAGTAATTGACATGAAGAATGCCATCAATGGCTCATCAACTCACAAAGTGCAGGAATGAATCTGTAAACTTAATAAGTCAATAGAAATATTTCAATAAATAAGAACTAAAACAAAAAGTGCAAAATAACGGGGGAAAGAACAGAACATCCTAAGAGTTGCTGGACATGAAACAATCTAATACATGTGTAGTTGAAATCCCAAAAGAAGACAGTATGAAACAAAAGAATATTTGGAGAAATAATGACCCAGAATTTTCCAAGTTTTATTACAGACACAGTTCCACAGGTCAAAGAAGCTCAGAGAAATAACCAGGCAAAAAACACTCAACCCATATCATATTTCCCTGAATAGAATGTCCATTTCATCTAAATTTTCAAATTTCAAATTTATCACTTAAAGTTGTTCTGAGATTCTTTTTACTGTATCTACATTATCACTGGACCTATACAAGGTGAGGCAAAAAAAAGGTTTACAATTGTGGGTATGTGAAACACAGAGTTTATTCTTGTATTATTATTTATTATTATACTGTTTTCCATATGAAAAACTGGAAACCTGATATAGCCCCACTCTGTATTTATGTGCCTTTCATTATTTCTAATAGCATTTATTTGCACCACATTAGTTTTTAATTATATACTTTTATATTTTATTATGCTATTAGAGTTGTCCCATCTTTACTCCCCTTTCTTCCCCTCTACCCTGCACCTCCCTCCCACCAGCATTCTGCCCCTCCCGCTTAGTTCATATCCATGGGTCATACACATAAATTCTTTGGCTTCTCTATTTACTATATTATTCTTAACCTCCCCCATCTATTTTGTACCAACCATTTAGGCTTCTTATTTCCTGCACCTTTCCTCCATTC